TACAAGTCCAAAAAGGACCATTGTGACTGTGTAGTCTGATCTCATATATAACACAGGCCATAACTTCCTCAAAATAATTCCTAGAGCATATCTTTTAGAAAAAGGATTAATGATGGAGAATCCACCATGACCCTTGGTAAATTTGTCCCAGTGGCAAATTACACCTTCCTTCCAGTCTGAATTTGTCTTGCTTCAACTTCCAGTCATTAGATTGTGTTATACCTTTCTCAGCTAGATTGAAGAGCTCATTATTAAACATTTGTTCCCCACGATACTGTAGACTGTAAGCAGGTTACCTCTTAATTTTCTAAGCTAAATAGATTGAGCTCTTTGAGTCTATCAATATAGAGCAAGTTTTCTAGTCTTTTAATTGTTCTCATGGCTCTTCTCTGAAACCTCTCCAATTTATCAACATTCTTCGTGAAGTACAGACATCAGAACTGGACACTGTATTCCAGCAGCAGTTGCACTCGTGCCAAATACAGAGGTAAAATTATCTCTGCTCCTGCTCGAGATTCCTGTGTTTATAAATCCCAGAATTACATTAGCTCATTTAGGCACAGCATCACACTAGAAGCTCATGTTCCACTGGTTATCCACTGTGATAACCCCCAAATCTTTTTCAGAGTCACTGCTTCCTGGGAAAGACACCCCCATCGTATAGCATGGCCTACATTCTTTGTTAGATGTATATATTTACATTTAGTTGTATTAAACTGGGCACAAGTAAACAATGTGTTTTATCAAATGATCTCTAGATTGTTCTGAATCAAGGACCTGTCCTCTTCATTATTTACCACTCCCAATTTTTGTGTCATCAGGTTTCAGAGTAACGGCCGTGTTAGTGATTTTGTTTTCTTCCAGGTCATTTATAAAAATGTTAAGCTTAGGGCCAAGAACCAATCCCTGCTGGACACGACTGGAAATACAACTGATCGATGACTATTTCCTGTTTATAGTTACAGTTTGAGAGTTATCCATTAGCCAATTTTAATCCACTTCACATGTGCCGGTTTTATATCATTCTAGTCTTTGAAGTGTTTTGCGGTATCAAGTGAAATGCCTTAAAGTCAAAGTATACTGTGTCAACACCATTACCTTCTTCAACCAAACTTGTAATCTCATAAAAAAAAATCAAGTTAGTTAAACAGGGTCTATTTCCATAAACCCATGTTGTTTTGCATTAATTGCATTACCCTCCCTTTATTTATTAAACAAGTTCTGTATCAGCAACTCCCGTATTTTGCCTGGGATCAGTGTCGGACTGACAGGCCTATAATTCCCATGTCATCTCATTTACCCTTTTAAAAAAATTTGCACACATTTGCTTCTTTCCAGTCTTCTGGACCTTCCCCATTGCTCCAAGACTTTGGAAAATCAGCATTAAAAATCCAGTGAGCTCCCCAATTAACTTGAATCCCAGAGGTTTAAAAGAGCTATCTGGAGCTGCCAAGGTAAAAATATCTAACTTTAGTAGACATTCTCCAGAGAGATAATGAAATGGAAAGTGTTATCACCTTATGAGACTGTATCATCTGTTTTTCCCCCAAATACAGAACAGAAATATTTATTGAACACTTCTTGCCTTTTTCTGCATTTTTATTGATTCTACCTCTTTCATCTAGTAAAGAACAAAAAGAATGCTGGTAATGGTCCATAATATATTTACAAAACTCTTTTTTTTTTTTTTCTTATTGTCTTTAACTCTGCTGGACGTAGATTTTTCTTTTTTCGTTGTGTCCCTTAGCTTCCTTTATCAGCTTGCTATAATTTCTAACTTCTGCCTTATATTCATTATTATCAACTTTCCCTTTTTTTCCCACTTGTTTTTATCTATATCTATATGCATGCTTCTACTTCCCCTATAAAGCAGATTAGTTTAGTTTTTTTAACTAGAACTGCTGCTTTCTTTGGTTGTGGCTTTTTGGGCATCTAGTAAGGTGTTCTTAAATAATTTCCAGTTATCATTCATTTTTTCTAATTAAATTCTTCCTCCCAGCTGATTTGGCTCAGAATTGTTTTCAGTTTTGTGAAATTGGACCTATTAAAGAACCATATATATATATATATATTTTTTTTACTGGTCTGGACTTTATTCTGCTTGCGCATTTATGATCACTTGTACCTAAGCTACCATTAATTTTAGTGCTATAATCACTTCCTCTTCTGTTCAGTCAGGGTCTAATAAAGAATTCCCCTGTGTTGGCTTCAATACATCTTGAGTTAGGAAATTGTTCTCTGTAATGTTTAGAAATTCCAAGAATGTTTTAGTATGGGAAACATGAGACTCCTAGCATATGTCAGTCAAACTGATGTCCCCTGTAAGCATGCACCTTTTTTTCCTAAATATTATAAATAGGTTCATATCGGGGTGGTCATCCTATTCCGTAGTGTGATTTGGTGATGTGCACCAGATACCAACTAATACCCCCATCTGTTAGGGCATTGATCCGTACGCATTCAAGATTACTGTCTTCTGAGTTATCAGTGACTCAGAAATAGGGAATGCTATCTTGGACATAGTGCCACTCCCCCTCTCCTTTTGCCCACTCCATCCTTCTCAAATATGTTATAGCCATTTGTTTTAATATGCCAGTCATGCACATAATCCCAAAAGTTTTCAGTAATATCAACCAGATGAAATTTGTGCTCATAAATGAGCAATTCCAGACCCTTTTATTTGTTACCCCAGCTCCTAGCATGAGTGCAGAGGCAATTCAGGAATTTCTTCTGCGGCCTTTGGTTCCTTGATTGATGTTATTCACAGTGTCTTTTATATTTTTGTTTGTGTGCAGAGTGCTCATATCTTCCATCTTTTTATCCTTCTTTTTGCTATTAGTTTAACTTAAATTCACACCTTCCCTTAATTGAAAATGGCATGTTAAATCCCTGTGAATGCACTCATTCAGAAGTAAAGTGGCCTTAGTTTGCTCAAATTTAATTCACAGTGACCTGGAGATAACATGAAGCTGACTGAGACCGTGTTTTGTTTTTTCATTGGGAAACAGTCAAGGAGTATGTTAGTTGTTTAAGTCTTTTTTCCTAATTGGGGGGGTCTCAAGCTCCTTCATATTGTGGACCATATATGTTAATAGAGCAGGTTTCATCGATCACCTTCAATCCTTTTTCCAACTGCATAACTTCTTTATGATAACTTGATCAGTTGCTTGCTTTCTCATTTTTTCATGTATTTGTACTAAGGCATGTCTAATGCAATAGGCAGGGTGGGGAATTTGTTTTTAGTCTTTATCTCCCTCTCCAGTTTCTAGTGGTGTTCTTTCTCTTGTTCCGTGTACAAGTTTCTCTGCCACCTTGTGCAAGAGGACACGCTTCTGTTGCCTGTATGGGGGTGTGTGTGTGGTTTTTTTTTAAATCCCTTCCCCTGCACAGACTTTCTTGTCACTCTGTTCTTCATTCTACTGGATGTGTTGCCTTGCCACCTGACCCTCTTGCAATGGATCTACTGCCTGACTGCTTTGTTCTCCTCTTCATGGGACTCTTCTTGTGGCATTGACTAGCAGTTCCTGTTCTCTTTTTATAAGTAGTTAGGCGGTGGCTGTTTGGTTTTTTTTTTTTCCAGCTGCTTCTGTAGGATTCCCATCTCTTCTTGACAAAAATTAGTTCAATCTAAGGCTAGGCATTTGACCAAAAGTAATTGGTCAAATATTGTCAAATGTCAAACGGTCAGATGTTTTAAAGTGTTAACTATTAGAGCAGTACCAAAAGAATACTGTATGATTTTCAATAGGGTTAGCTTTAGACTCTTATGCTTAATTACAAAAAACAAGTTACTTGAAGGAGTTATTTTAACTCCGAAAAATGTGAAACTCAATAAAGTGAAGTTCTGAAGAATGGTGCTGTCAATAGATTAGGTCACCGCCTACATTGGGGCATTCTTGGTGGAATATATAACAATATTTGACCTTGATCAAATAATAGATAGATAATTAACATTATTTGACTGCTCAGTTGACCAGATTGTCAAGCGTAGTCTGGACACCCATAGAAGCATCTGGAAACAAGAAAGAGGCAATGGCATCTTCTCCATGGACCACACAGTGGCTTACAGATCAGTATGGGAAACTGTCTTAACTAGAGACCTCTTGTTGTGAAAGGGCAGGGGAATTACATTTGGGCATGTATGTAACAGTTTGAAGTCATTGCAATGTATGAGTAGGAATTTTCTGAATATCTTGTAACTGATAGAAAACTTCATAAGGTATCACAAAACAACTTCTTTATCCATGTTGGAGAGTTGGTAAACCTATATGCTCACCTTTTTGAAGAACTCTATATTGAAAAATAATTTTTTCTCTAGAAATCTCATTTTGCAATAACTGCCAAATACGCTTACTGTAGCGGAACTGTGCACAACCAACTCTGCATATTGTATAGCTCTGGGAAACATCTGGGGGGAAATCTTAAATTTCAAATTCGTATTATCTGAAATTAACAACTTTCAGAATCTTAGTTTTTGGCTCTGTGGTTTTACAAAAAGAGCATGTGATGAATAACCAATTGAATACAGTTTTTTGGCAATATGATAAACTCATAGCATCTCATAATGCAGTTCATAGAATTGTTTCTTACCTTTCCAGGATCTCCATTTCTCTTTTTTTCCTAGTCTCTAGTTCTTTATCCAATTACATCCTTATTTTGGGGTAAGATTGATATCCTTACTTTGCAAGTAGTCCCACTGAATTTAGTGCAACTAATGGTGGTGCAAGGTACTCTGTTTAGTGTGAGGAAGAGTACTGCAGTCTGGATTACCCATAAATTAACACTTAAGAAGGCCATCCTACCTTAAGTGTTAATTTATAATTTTTGTAATGCAAGTCTTTCTGTACATCTGGGGAAAACTGTTACCAAGAGCCATCTAGGAAAATGGTCTGGAAATAGTAAATTGCAAACATTTTGATTACTCTCCTTAATATGCCTATTTTCAAAATGAGTACATTACATTTATAAATCTAGCAGCAAGGCTTTTGGCTGGTAGCCTAGGACATTCTTCAGCTATTGTTAGGGCAAATAGATAATTACTATCTAGATAATAGATAACTCCGTACAAGATGCCTTCTAAACAGACAAGGGCTGCTGCTGAAGTAAAATGAAACTTCATACTACCACTGCAGCTCCAATCTTCAAATGACATTAAAAGCATTGAGTTTTGAGCTGCTGCATCTGCAGTGCAGCAAGAAAGGTTAGAGGTGAGAGGAAAGAAAATGGATTACAGAAAGAAATCTGAAAAAAGTCACAGAAATGGAGAGCCTGAGAGGAGAGAGCGGACATGAACTGAGAAATGAACATTTAGAAGATGAATAAGCTATACAGACAAATCCAGGATTGGCGGTAAGAGAACTTGAGACACAAATGGAATACATGGTAGAAAAAATAAGGATAAAGAGAACCAAACACTTAAACTGATCTAAAAGAATAGGACATAGCAGACATAATGGTATGGATTTTAAAACAAATATGAAAGAATGGGTAAACCAAAAATTTAGAGTATTTGTTTTAAAATGTGCCTTAAAAATTCAGGTTGTCTGTTTTATTTTTAATCAGGAAACTTTAGACTAAATTTGTATTGTTTATGTCCAGGAACAAATACATACATTTAGAATTTGAATTATTCTGACTCTAACTTTTAGAAAGATCTACATAATGGTGCTTGATAGTAGTGTGGGATTCTATTAGCTAATTTTTAAATACCCGTTTTCTCCAAAATAGCTAAAATATCTAAAGACCCAAACATCAAACCAGATTCTAAAATTGTTCATAATGAATTTCAATTTAAATGGTCTTTGCTTTCTCAAAAATCAAAACAAGTTCCCCTGTTTTTTAAAATGTGCTGGTTAAAGTATATAAAGCAACAGCAAGACGCCTTCATTTTGTAATGTAAACCCAATGATAGATAGAAAATGATAGGTTTCTTTCAAGCAACACTTTCAAGTGGCCTTTGTCCTAAATCTCTTAAGCTTGCTTATCTCTTCCCTTCTTTCTTAGAATTAGGGTCTGGCTTCTATTTTATTTTTATATATATATGTGTGTGTGTGTGTGTATGTATGTGTATAACCTTGATTGTAGTAGTAAAGTCTCCTTTCTTTGACAGAGTGAAACACTGCTTCTTGAAATGGAGGGAATGGAAGAAACATCTGAAAGAATTCTTTTAGAGCCATACAAGTATTTACTTCAACTGCCAGGCAAGTGTCCTTTTACCATTCTGTTCTGTTTTTCTACTTGTTTTCAGAGCTTGATCAAAATTGTCCTCTACTTATTCTTTTGAATTTGTCCAGTCTTGACTTGTATGGACTTTGATTCTGAGTAGTTTAATTCTTTTACTGAAAGGAGCAGAATTTTCTATTTAGAAGAAATCTAGCACTTCTGAGATTGTTCCTCTGGTCTGTCCAATTCAGAGAAACTGTTCTTCCCCTCCCCTCACCACTGCATTCTAAGGAGCCAATATACTGTCTAATGCAGTGGCTCTCAACCAGGAGTATATGTATCTCAGGAGTACGCAGAGGTGTTCCGGAGGTACATCAACTCATCTAGATATTTGCCTGGTTTTACATAGGGCTCTCAAGTGATTCAAAAAATTAATCGTGATTAATCACACCGTTAAACAATAATAGAATACCATTTATTTAAACATTTTTGGATGTTTTCTACACTTTCAAATATATTGATTTCAGTTATAACATAGAATACAAAGTATACAGTGCTCCCTTTCTATTTTTGATTACAAATATTTGCATGGTAAAAACAAAGGAAATCGTATTTTTCAGTTCACCTAATACAGGTAATGTAGTGCCATCTCTTTATCATGAAAGTTGAACTTACAAATGTAGAATTATGTACAAAAAAATAACTGCACTCAAAAACAAAACCATTTAAATCTTTAGAGCCACTCAGTCCTACTTCTCATTCAGCCAATCACTCAGACAAACAAGTTTTTTTTATTTTCAGGGTATAATGTTGCCCCCTTCTTGTTCACAGTGTCACGTGAAAGTGAAAGAAGGTGTTCCATGGCATTGGTGTAGTCGGCATCACAAGATATTTACATTCCAGATGCACTAAAGATTCATATGTCCTTTCATGATTCAGTAACCATTCAGGAGGACATGCGTCCATGCTGATGATAGGTTCTTCTCTATAACAATCCAAAGCAGTGCAGACTGACGCATGTTCATTTTCATCATCTGAACATTAGATGCCACCAGCAGAAAGTTGATTTTCTTTTTTGGTGTCTTGGGTTCTGTAGTTTCTGCATTGGAGTGTTGCTCTTCTAAGACGTGTGGAGCATGCTCCACACCTTGTCCCCCTCAGGTTTTGGAAAGTGCTTCAGATTCTTAAACCTGGGGTCGAGTGCTGTAGCTGTCTTTAGAAATCTCACATTGGTACCTTCTTTGCGTTTTGTCAAATACACAGTGAGAGTGTTCTTAAAATGAACAGCATGTGCTGAGTCATATTTCATGTTATATAGTCTCGGACGATATGACAGAATGCAGATAAAATAGAGCCAGAGACCTACAATTTTCCCCTAAGGAGTTCAGTCACAAATTTAACACATTATTTATTAAACAAGCATCATCAACATGGAAGCATGTGCTCTGGATGGTGGCTGAAGTATGAAGGAGCATATGAATGTTTAGCATATCTGGTACGTAAATACCTAGCAATGTCTGCTACAAAAGTCCCATGGGAACGCCTGTTCTCACTTTCAGGTGACATAGTGGACAGCATTATCACCTGTAAATGTAAACAAACTTGTTTGTCTGAGTGATTAGCGCCTACAAGTCCACTGAGTCCTACTTCTCATTCAGCCAAAGTTTTATATCGTTTTGTTTGAGTGCAGTTATGTAACAAAAAAATTCCTACATTTGTAAATTGAACTTTCACCATAAAGAGATTGCACTACAGTAGTTGTATGAGGTGAACTGAAAAATACCGTTATTTTTACAGTGCAAATATTTGTAATCAAATAATAAGTGAGCAGTGTACACTTCATATTCTGCGTTGTAATTGAAATCAATATATTTGAAAATGTAGAAACATCCAAAACGTTTAATAAATTTCAATTGGTATTCTATTTAACAATGCAATTAAAACTGCTATTAATCGCAATTTTTAATAGTAACTTTTTTTCTTTTGGTTAATCGCGTGAGTTAACTGCAATTAATCGACAGCCTGAGTTTTACAACAGGCTACATAAGACACTAGCAAAGTCAGTACAAACTAAAATTTCTTGGAATTTGTTTATATATACTGAAATGTAAATTTTATTTGTATATGGTAAAAATGAGAGAGCAATATTTTTTTCAGTAATAGTGTGCTGTGACACGTTTTTGTATTTTCATGTCTGATTTTGTACGCAAATAAGTCTTAAGTGAGGTGAAACTTGGGGATATACAAGAGAAATCAGACTCCTGAAAGGAGTGCAATAGTCTGGAAAGGTTAAGAGCCACTGGTCCTATATATCTGCGGTTGGTGAAAGGGAAAGTGCTAAAGACTTGGTCCAGCTCTTGTGAAATGGACATGGTCAGCCCTGAGCCTACTATTGACCTGTGCCTTGGTGTATTTGGACCTTTTGATCTCTCTGTACTGTTGGTTTCTCAGTTATGCCCTTCTCAACATGCTGCTTAAACAGTTGGTAATACACCAGAATTTTCCTTTGGACCAATTTCTGCTGTTCTAGGTCACTTAATCTCCCCAGATGGTCAGCCAGGGGTTTTATATTGGTCTCAGGCCAGCTGGTAATATGCTCAGAGGAGGGCCTCCTCTGAGACATGGTAACACTTCAGGCAGAAGGAAGCTGATCATTAGGACAGTAACTCACAGATCAACAGCATAGCATATGTTGTGCCATGTGTACAGGTAAGTGGCTTCTGTAGCTTTCATCCCTGAGCAGTGAAGTGTAGAAAATAAATCTGAGAAGCCACCGAAGCAGTGACTAGTCCCATACAGGAAGGAAATAGTAAAACTGTTAGCGCATTACAGCAGTGACTTCCATCCAATTTGTACTGTGAACTCTTGAAGACTAAAAGTAAGTCTAATGAAGATGATGCGAATGCCTATGCACACTTGGGAGAAATTTTAGATGTGGTCAGGTGGCATTAATAGGCATACTCTGGGTACAGATGGTCCTTTAGAATGCCAAATATCTGACGTAGGCAGGGTCTTGTAGTGAAACTTTCCTTTGGTTATGGTGAACTTTAATTGTTAAACCCTACGAGTGCAGCAGTTATAATCTGTGTGCCACATATAATTCCAGTGTGACTATCAACTATTTCTGGTTGAAGTGGGGAAGGAGAAGAGAAATTTCCAGTAACGCTCCTTGCTCCAGCCTAAGGGGAAATCCCTGACTTCTAATGATACGGCATCTCCCATTAGGAAGTAAATCAGAATGAATTTATGGTATTTCAAAGCGTGCTTCTCCCCTCCCCCCCCCTCCCCATGGCTGCCAGTAGTTCCTGCAAATGAACCACCCACTATTTGCCCCCTCTCCCAGGTAAAAGGAAATGTAGCTTCCTTCCCACCCTTAATAGTTATTTTCCTTATAACCAGAAGGTCATTTAATGTATTACATGTTAAAATACTGAAGATGAACTAACTTTTTGCTAATGCATACACTGTTTGTAGTAGTTGGAGCTTAGTTTATCAGAAACTCAGTAATGGGAGTTCAGCATCCTAAAGAGAAATCAGAAATGGACAGCAAAAATGGCTCTAGAAAAGTTCTTTTAAAAACTAACTTGTAAATGTAGCTCAGTTTTTTTCTTTTTAAATAGTTTTAAAACATACAGTAGAACCTCAGTTACAAACACCAGAGTTACAAACTGTAACTGGTCAACCATGCACCTCATTTGGAACTGGAAGTATGCAGTCAGGCAGCAGTAGAGACAAAAAAGCAAATACAGTGGTGTACTGTGTTAAACTTAAATTTACTGTTTTAAAAACAAAACTTTTTAAACTTGACAAGGTAAGAGAACTTTCTGTGCTTGTTTCATTTAAATTAAGATGGTTAAAGCAGCATTTTCCTTAGTAAAGTTTCAAAGCTGTATTAAGTCAATGTTCAGTTGTAAACTTTTGAAAGAACCATAATTTTTTGTTCAGAGTTATGAACATTTGCAGAGTTATCAATGGCTTCCATTTCCAAGGTGTTCATGACGCTGAGGTTCTACTGTGATGTCTTTTCACCCTGTACATTTTTGGCTATGAAACTGACCATTTTGCTGATCTCCTTTATTATAATACTTTCGAGATTGACAGAACGCTGTTCCAAAAGAAAACTCTAAGGGGTCATCTAGAGTGTAAACAGATATAACATCTTTTTTTATCCTGCTCTGTGTGGAGGGGCATATGGTCTTGGCTATGACTGAGGTCTGTAGGGGACATTACTAGTAATTCCTTTTTAAAGTTTAAGCGTATTCTGTACTTTAGAAAGATGAGGGATTGACCCATCTCGGACTGCAGTCCTCTATCTATGGAAGAGATGACTGGTTTTGTCAGTGACATGAGCAGAGTGTAGTAGAACCTGAAAGATACAGACTGACTAGTCAACCAGACACCCATGGGGAACCAGAAGTAAGCAGTAAGAGACAAAAAACAGAAGTAAGAAGTAAGAGATAAAAAACAAACCAGCAAATGCAATACAGGCACAATGCAGTACAGTATCTTAAAGGTAGGCACATGCAATACAGGCACAATGCAGTACAGTATCTTAAAGGTAGGCACATCTGGGCTGTGTCCCCACCCCATACTCGCCACAGCGTGGGGCAGCCACTTACAGGTAAGAGGTGGTGAACGCTGTTTTCCCCTCTTCCCCCACTGGCTGGAAGGGGGACAAGCTTGCAAGCTCAGAGCTCAAGAAAGAAACTTCCCAAGTTGCTACTGAAACCTGGCCTGGAATGTAAGCTACTGAAGCCCGAACTCCTGCTTGCACGCTATGCTCTAGAGGAGCGGCTCAGTTTTAAAGGGCCACAGCCTGCACTGTGCGCCCACTGATGCTGCAGTGCCCCAGGGTGCCTCATCACCCGTGTAGCGCAGGGGGCTAGAACCAGCTGCCATTGCCCACTCCCACTTGCCAGGCAGAGCTGTGAGCCCTTGCTCCAAGCAGTCTGCCCTGAGGAGCATCCCATAGTGTCTTGTTCAGGGTTATGAACAACCTCCATTCCCGAGGTGTCCGTAACTCTGAGGTTCTATTGTA